AGTTTGTTCTGGAATGGGCAATGAGGAAGTCTAAACGAAAAATGTGGTGTAATTTGTAGATAAAACAAGTGAAAAAGTATTAACTTCGGTCGGGCCGAACTTCGGATAACCTCCACACTTGAAATAAAAATATAGGGAACATACCAAAAAGTGTACCTATACCGACACTTCTACAGACCAATTATGGTTTAAATATTGGTCGTAGACTCCATGTTTGTTTCAAAAAATGTTGATTTCATCCAAACTTTCCCCGTCTTATTATTTCTTCCAAAATTAGTTCCAGTTCGAACATGGGGAATATCGGTCCACTCCTTCTGGGGCTAGGCCTAAATGCGGGTTACAGTTCATATATATGAGTTTTTTCGTATCTTCCGCAGATGAAATGATTACAAACGAGTCTTAGAACCAAACCCAAACCCGGAACAAATCATATAATTATTTTAATATAAACAAGTAAGGAAAGTTGTAAAGTCGGACGGGGCCGACTATATGATACCCTTCACCACTTTGGGTAGACATTCTGCAACCTATACTAAAGTTTTAATTTGGTCAGATATAGGGTTGCTTTTTACAATGGGACAAAATTATATAAATAAATTTAAAGAATATATATATATATATATATATATATATATATATACATATATATATATCTGTACCGATTTCAATGAGACTTGCCAGAATCGGACAAACGGACAAATATACATGGGAGCTATATCTAAATCATTACGCTATGCGACATTTCGTGCACATCGAAAGATATATAGGGGCTTTGGTACACCATTTACCTTAAATCGGACGAAAATATATATGGACCTATATCTAAATCTGAGCCGATTTTCAGGAATCTTAACACACATCATTCTAGACCTAATTCATTACACTGTGTCAAATTTCGTGCACATCGAAAGATATATAGGGACTTTGGTACACCATTCATATTAAATCGGTCGAAAATATATATGGGAGCAATATCTAAATCTAAACCAATGTTTCTCAATTTCAATAGGGTTCGTTCTTGGGTCAAATAAGTAACCTATCCCAAAGTTCATCCAATTCGGACGGACAGACAGACGGACATGCGTAAATCGACTCAGAAAGTGATTCTATGCATATTCTCAAAAGGAACCCTGTATCTATCTTGTTTTTGTCTGTTACAAACATATGCACAAAGACATAATACCCTGTACCACAGTGTGGTGAAGGGTATAAAAAGGGGGTTATATGGGGGGCGAATATTAAAATTTTTTGGTAGGGAGATTTGTTACCATATACGACTACAAAATACCAAATTGCAGCGAATTCGGCTGAAAAGCGCGCTCAAGAACCCCAAAATACCGAATATTGGGGATACCCTTATATAGGGGTTACCCGAAAAAATAGACCTATATTCATAATTTTTTGTGCAGAAATTTGGTACCTATTAAGAACTCAAAATTCTAAATTACAGCCAATTCGGTGAAATATACGATCAAAACCCCTAAAATACTGAAAAAATAAAAAAGTGGACCTATACTCATAATTTTTTGTGGAGACATTTAGTGCCCAAACACCGAAAATTGGGGGGTTCTGTTATATGGGAGCTATGCCTAAACGTGGACCGACATATCCCATCATCGAACTTGACCTGCCTGCAGACAAAAGACGACTCTATACAAAATTTCAGCACCCTATCTCAATTCCTGCAGAAGATAGCGTGATTGCAACAGACGGACGGACATGGCTATATCGTCTTAGAATTTTACCCTGATCAGGAATATATATATACTTTATAGGGTCGAAAATTAATATTTCGATGAGTTACAAACGGAATGACAAAATTTATATACCCTCCATACTATGGTGGAGGGTATAAAAATGATGTTTTCTGTGGGAAGGAGTCCATGGATTAAAGTTCGCCTTTAATGACTCCTTACAGATAGACTATATATACTTCTTTGGTTCATATATTGGGAGTCCTTTGAAAGTATTTTTAAAATTTGTCTAAAATTATTTTTTTAATCCAAGCTTTACAAATTGTTTAAAAATATTTTTTTAATCCACGACCTGAAAATTTTTCTAAAAATATATTTTTAAAAAATAAAATTTTAAAATCCAAATCTTACTTTTCACATCGGAACATTCCTTCTGATACATCATCACCATAAGGGTTCATAATCTTGAAGAAAAAAAACGATTTGATTCCCCAACTACACATTGTACTAATTTTACCAAACGTACATTTAGTCCGCAGATGGTCATCCCTTTTGGTACCTTTGATACACACCTTTGATACAGCTCTATCGTGATTTCAACTGTCAGACGTATATTACTACTCCTAGAATGTTTGGTGTTGAAAATGGGATATACCGGACCATTTTTAGGTCCTATATAAAAGTATCCATATTATTTTCAGACTAATCATCTATAATTTGATATTTTCGGTTCTCAATAGGTATAAGTTTTCTTGCTAGAAATTATAAAAGTTAGACCATTTTTTAGGGTAGCCCCCATAAAACAGTATCCCCCAAATTTCGGTTTATTTATACCCTTCACCACACTGTGGTACATTATTTGTGCATATGTTTGTAAAAGGGAAGAAGAATCGAGATAGACCCATGGTTCCTTTTGAGAATATGCATAGAATCACTTTCCGAGTCGAATAACGCATGTCCGTCTGTCCGTCCATGTATTTTTGTTAACAAAGTACAGGTCGCATTTATGATCCGATTTGGATGAAATTTGGCACAGTTCACTTATTTGGCCCAAGGACGAACCCTATTGAAATTGGACGAAAATCGGTTCAGATTTAAATATAGCTCCCATATATATTTTCGTCCGATTTAAGATAAATGGGGCACCAAAGTCCCTATATATCCTTCGATTTGCACGAAATTTGGCACAGCGTACTGAATAAAGTCTAGAAAGATGTGTGTAAAATTTCGTGAAAATCGGTTCCGATTTAGATATAGCTTCCATATATATTTTCGTCCGATTTTAGGTAAATAGTGCACCAAAATCCCTATATATCCTTCGATTTGCACGAAATTTAGCACAGCGTACTGAATTAAGTCTAGATCGATGTGTGTTAAATTTCGTGAAAATCGGTTCAGATTTAGATATAGTTCCCATATATATTTTCGTCCGATTTTTGGTAAATAGTGCACCAAAGTCCCTATATATCCTTCGATTTGCACGAAATTTGGCATAGCGTACTGAATAAGACCTGGAAAGATGTGTGTAAAATTTCGGGAAAATCGGTTCAGATGTAGATATAGTTCCCATATATATTTTCGTCCGATTTTGGGTAAATAGTGCACCAAAGACCCTATATATCTCTCGATTTGCACGAAATTTGGCAGAGCGTTCTGTTTTAAGTGTAGAATGATGTGTGTTGAGTTTGGTGAAAATCGGTTCAGATTAAGATATAGCTCCCATATACAGTTTCGTCCGATTTTATGTAAATGTCCCTATATGTCATTAGGTCTACAATAATATGTGTTAAGTTTCCTGAAAATCGGTTCAGATTTAGGTATAGCTCCCACATATATTTTCGTCGGATTTAATGTAAATGGTGCACCAAATTCCCTACATATCTTTCGATTGCACGAAATTTGGCACAGTGTAATGAATTAGGTCTAGAATGATGTGTGTTAAATTTCCTGAAATCGTTGAAATCGGTTCACATTTTTATATATAGCTTCTTTATCTGACCAACTGAAAAAATTAGTATAGGTTGCAGAATGACATGTTTATGTATCCAATTTCATTTTGCTGGTCCTTCAAAAGTACGACATCTGTTAGGATTCCATCTGTTGAATATACCCAAAGTGGTGAAGGGTATCATATAGTCGACGCTGTCCGACTTTACTGCTTTCCTTACTGGTTTATATTAAAATAGTTAACAAATTTTTTCCGCGTTTTGAGTTTGATTCTAAGACTCTGATGTTATCATTTTACCTGCGGAGGATAGCGAGATAAAAAATTTGAACGTAAGGTTCTATAATGAACTATAGCCGCATTTAGACCCAGCCCCTGTGTGGAGGTTCCAGAAGGAGTGGAAAGATATTCCCCATCTTTGAATTTGAACTAAGTTTGGAAGAAATAATAAGATGGGCAAAGTTTGGATGAAATCTTAATTTTTTTGGTCCAAAGAAACATGGGGTCTAGAACCAATATTTCGATGAGGCACATTTCAACCGTGCTGAAATGTATACACCCTCATTAGCCATAAGGCTGAGGATATAATTATCCATTAAATATTTCTGAAATTTCTATTATGGTTTACAAAATTTTAGAAATGTCGGTGTAGGTCCACTTCTTAGTATGTTCCCTATATTTGCATTTCTAGTACCTGTCAGTATATCTATGGTGGAGGGTAGTCCGGCCGAACTTAACGCCTTTTCACTTGCTATTATTATTTTTAATTCAAGACTTAAATTTTTTCTTGAGGGAACTCACCATTCTCGGTTTCAAAAATTTGAATGCTGCATCCTTTAAATCCACGCCTTGAGTGTCAGGCAAAATTGCCAAAACATTTTTAGCTTTTTAGTGTTCACAAGTCCTAACATATATATTTTTTTAAAATTGAATGCAGGAAAAAGTTTTTTTCATATTAAAAACATTCTTATTTTTAAGAATGTTTTTATATAATTCTTAAATATTTTTTTGTTTTTTAAAAGTCCATATAATTTGTTACGACACCCTTGTGTTCGTTTATAAACCCTCCTTTCATCATATTAAAACTAAATATTGTACTCCCAACTTCGACTAGTTGCTTTCCACAAAAGTTTTAAACATCTAGGAAATATAAATGGATTTTTCATGTAACCAATTGTTGTTTTCCATTTCTTAATGTTTTATTTCCCCTCCCGATCTCTCTCTCCTTCTCGCACAGCCAAACATAACAATACTACTACAATTTTAATATAATATTTCCATTTATGATGACAAGTAAAAATTCACAAAATGAAGAAAAGAAAAATAAAAAACAATTGCGCAAACATCTGAACATTACTTACCACTTCATCGGAGCCATCATAACAATCTGGTTCTCCGTCACATTTCCATTTCTTGTGAATGCAAGCGCCATTCGAACAGGTAAATTCATGAGCGCCACATGGCACTTTGGCGCAATTCTTCTCATCCGAACCATCGCCGCAGTCATCGTCGTGATCGCATATCCAACGTTTTTGTATGCAACGGCCATTGCCGCAGGTGAACTCATCAGAGCGACAGGTATCATCTTAAAGTGTTATTTTTTTGTTGTTGTTGTTGTTTTGGGTAAATGATTAATTGCAAGAATTTCAGAGAAGAAGAAAAAGGGAAAAATTGTATTAAAAATTGGGTCATGGAAATTGTAGCTGTTTTGTGGTTAGTTAACAAATATTTGTCTGTTCCAAAAAGGATTAGTAGTTGTGTTAGTATTTTTGGTGTATATATAAGAAATGTGCAAAAATAGGGATTTCATAATAAGGATTTCACATATAAAAAAGACAATAACCCATAACCGTTATTATACAGAAATTACATATGTAAAAAATCACATAAATATATAAAATCAAACCAACACCACAATTTATATTACAGAAATGTTTGCGGAAGTATAAAATAAAATTTTGATCAATTTTATATAGAAAACATGGCTAAGTAAAAACAATATTCTTAGGTTATCAATGCAAACTATTGTAAAAATCCCTAGAATATGCCTGTTGATTTTTTCAAGTAAGAATTATCCTACCAATTGACAGAAATTCTTTTTACTATTTAACATTTTCTTAAAAAGACCCATAGTTCGATTTCTTTTCCTTGTTAGAAAAATATGCCCAAAGCCATTATACCCTGTACCACAGTATGATGAAGGGTATAAATAATAGTTTATTCAAGGCTGTTATTGGATCACTTAACAATTTAGGGAATCTGCATTTAGCATTCAATGTGATGCAATATTTCTAATTCGCGGTTGCAATGTGACGTATACGTAGTGACAATACGTATACGCATCAAAGTACCAATTGCATTAGGGTTAGGGAAAAGACACCAATAGGGTTCATCTGTGGGCTTAACGAAAGAGCTATGATAAATTTCACAACAATTTGATAATAAGTGCGACCTACACTTTCTTTACAAAAATTCATAGACAGAAGGACGGATCGATATGCATAATTGATATCCTTCAAACTGACTATGGGTCTATCGAGTTTTCGATTGAAATTTGGTAATCATGTACCTGTTGGGAAATTCGGGGGCATTTTCCAACAGAAGAGACTGTAATTCAGCCACTCGTTTTAATGGAACTATTTTCGCAAAGAACATTAAATATAAGTCCAAGTGAGTAACTATAATTATTTCTCGGTTTCCGAGGATCAAATACAAATTGTCAGAACATTTTCCGGGTTCAATGTCCACGTTCTGTCATAGCTCCTTGATAAGAGTTCTTGTCGATTGGGGCTACTTAGAAATGTTGAAAAAGTAACGATATTTTTACCCAACTTATATTGTTTTGGATATGAGTTCTATCAATCAAATACATTTGCGCCAACAATTTGATGTGTGAAAACAATGAATTGTGGAAATCTTATATAAAGCTAATCGTTCATCCGAATTGATTCGAACTTTTTCACATCGATTGAAATTCATCGGAGCAATTCCTCTGGTATACTATCCCCACAAAAGGTTTATTATTTTGAAAACCAGTAAGAAAAGTAGTAAAGTCGGACGGGGCCGACTATATGATACCCTTCACCACTTTGGGTATATTCAACAGATGAATCCTAAAAGACGTCACATTTTTAAAGGACCAGTAAAATGAAATTGGATCCATAAATATGTCATTCGGCAACCGATACTAAATGTTTCATTTGGTCAGATATAGAATATATCAGATATATATCTAAATCTAAACCGTTTTCAGGAAACTTAACACACATCATTCTAGACCTATTTCATAACGCTATGCCAAATTTCGTGCAAACCGAAAAATATTTAGAGACTTTGGGGCATCATTTACATTAAATCGGACGAAAATATATATGGGAGCTATATCTAAATCTGGACCGATTTCTAGGAAACTTAACACACATCATTCTAAACCCTATTTACTACGCTTTGCTAAATTTCGTTCAAATCGGAAGATATATAGGGACTTTGGTAGACCATTTACATTAAATCGGACGGAAATATATATGGGAGCTATATCTAAATCTGAACCGATTTTCAGGAAACCTAACACACATCATTCTATACCCAATTCATTACGCTGTGCCAAATTTCGTGCAAATCGAAAGATATATAGGGACTTTGGTGGACCATTTACATTAAATAGGACGGAAATATATATGGGAACTATATCTAAATCTGCACCGATTTTCAGAAAACTTAACACACATCATTCTAGACCATTCTATTGCACGGATGAAAAAATACATCTTGTGGTAATTCGAGACCGGTGCAATAAATTAATTACGAAAATTACCGACAAGGAATCGGGTTAGAAGCATGAAAGATATCTACAAGTATTGCAAGGTTACCTGCAAAAACATGTTCTTGTCGCACAGTGTAATTAAAGATTTAAGTTGGGGAAAAACAGAAATCCATTACGAAAATGACGATAAAATCGGAGAAATTATCGATGTTGACCGACATGTTAGCAATTGTAACATATGAGAAATGGATAACATATGATAACCCTGTGTGAAAACGATTGTGGTCAAAGCACCTCAAATGGTGCCCAAACCAGTATTAACGGCCAGGAAGGTTCTGCTATGCATTTGGTGGGACTGGAAGGGCATTATTTATTTTGAGTTGATCTCTACTGTCAAGAAATGGACCGTTTTTAGATAGGAACTGACCATGCTCATGTTCCACAAGGACAACCCAAGGCACACACATCTACATTGACTCGCCAGAAACTTCAGGAGGTTGGTTGTGAAGTTTTAATGCATTCGCCATACAGTACGGAATTGACTTGCATTCCAAAATTTCTTTAATGATAAAAAATTGATGTCTAGGGAGGATTGTGAAAACCGACTAATAGAGTTTTTTTTTGCAAATAGAGAGCAGGACTTCTATGAGAGAGGCATTATGAAGTTACCTTTAGAATGGCAACAAATCATACAACAAAATGGTGCATATTTGCCCCAAATCGGACATTCCGAAGCATGTTAAATAAAGTCCCATATTTTATATAAAATTAATGGATTTATTTTTCCCTTTTTATACCCTTCACCACACAGTGGTACAGGGTATTATGTCTATGTGCATATGTTTGTAAGAGGCAAAAGGAATCGAGATATATCCATGGTTCCTTTTGAGAATATGCATAGAATCCGTCTGCTGATGTTCAATTGTAAACAAAGTACAAGTCGCATTTATATTCCGATTTGGATGAAATTTGGTACAACTCATTTACTTGGCCCAAGGACAAACCCTATTTAAAATGGGAGAAATCGGTTCAGATTTAGACAAAATGGTGCTCCCATATATATTTTCGTCGGATTTAAGGTTAATGGTGCACCAAAGTTCCTATATATGTTTCGATTTGCACGAAATTTGGTATGGCCTACTGAAGTAAGTCTAGAAAGATGTGTGCAAAGTTTCGTGAAAATCGGTTCAGATTAGATATAGCTCCCATATATAGTTTCGCCTGAAATTTTGCAGAGCGTACTCATTTAAGTCTAGAATGACGTGTGCCAAGTTTCGTGAAAATCGGTTCAGATTTAGATATAGCTCCCGATTTTATGAATTGGTGCACCAAAGTTCCTATATATCTTTCGAATTTTGGACGAATTTTGGTATAGGGTACTGAACTAAGTCTAATATGCTGTTGCTAAGCATAGTGAAAAGATCCATTGCAAGGCCGATTGGCACAACTTACTGATGTAATATAAATTAGTTCTTTGCCAAGTTTCCCTGAAATCGGTACAGATATAGATGTATAACAAAAACGCGTCGTCTGTTAGGATACATATGTAGAATATACCCAAAGTGGTGAAGGGTATCATATAGTCGGCCCAGTCCGACTTTACTACTTTCCTTACTGGTTTTATATAAATATCATACCTACCAATTATAATAGTAAAAATATATACAAAATATTTATTAGTTACAAAAGAACGGAGAAATACAGCCTATGTTCGATACAGCGAACATTCCCAGAAGCTTTAATGACCTCATGAAAAATATTTTGTTTATTTTAGGAATATGTATTTTTCCGCATAACTCGTTATATTTATTTTCAAATGTGTAATTACATTAAACCATCACCAAAGAAAGACATACAAAAAAATTAAACAACAAACATACATATCAAACTAAAATGCAAAAATGCGTAACTAACAAAAAATTGGAAATTGACTTTTTGAATGAATATTGTGAATGTCAATAAACTACATGTGTTGACAAAATCAATTTCAATTTTTTGTTAGTTACGCCTTTTTGCATTTTAGCTAACGATATACTCGTATAGTGTACCATCACCAGAATACAAAGAAAAAAAAAAAACAAGTAACTAAAAATATAAAACGTAAATATTGGACTCTTTGAGAAAAGTTTGTTAACAAATTAAGTAAATATATGACACATACATGTTGCATTTTGAAGTACACACACATACATACTTCAAAACAACAACTTAGATGAAAGCAAATATTTAATAAATTTCTTAACAAAAAATTTCACAAATTCTAAAAAAAAATAATTCACAGTAAAAACGTGTTTTAATTAAGATAAACAAGTAAAGGAGTAAAATAAGTGCATACATATTTGCATTTGGGTGTGTGTGTGTAGGTTTTTTTGGATATGTGCGTATGTCTGTATTAAGTGCATACGTGTATGGAAATCTCTTAGTGGGTTGTTTGGAAACTTTTTAAAACCTTTCAAGAAATAAAAAAAAATATAATTTGAATATTTTTATTAATTAAATTAATTTTGGTAATATAATAATTATTACTTGATTCCTTTTAAAAAATTTCCAAAAAACCAGTGGATATTTCCAAATTATGTGACAAAGATAAAAACTAAACAAAAGCAGCAGCTAACTATTTTCCATTTAAGGAAAAGAAATTAAAACACATGGATAAAAGCATTACTACTGCGAAAAGAGATAGCCAAAATATTCAAAAAAAAAAAAAAAAAAAAAAAAAAATCCTCTAAAAAAATAAGGTGTACATATACAATTGCAGGTGTATAGGTGTGTGTGTGTGTTTTTTTTTTTTGGGTGCTTTACAGACATTAAATAACAAGTGGGACAAATTTCGAATTTTGTTGGAATAGAAATTTTGAAAAACAATCTTACTGCATGAAGCCTCATCGGAACCATCCGAACAATCTTTACTTTGATCACACATCCAGGCCAGTGGTATACATTCACCCTCACCTGTCTTACAGGTGAACTCTTCGGGTGAACATGTCTTAATTTCTGCAAAAAAGAAATAATTTTGTGAAAGAGAGAATAAATTTAGTATAATTTTGTAAGGTGGTTTTTATTTCGAAAAAAAAAAATAATTTTCCAAAATTTATAAAAAGAAATAATTATATAATTTTCCAAATTAAAGTGTATTAAAACAAGTGTTTAAGACAATAAAATAATTTATAAACAAAACAATTAATGATCTTCATTTCACGAGAGGGAATTTTTTCAGCAGCCAAATTTCAAATTCAATGTATAATTTTTTTATGTCTAAAGAAAATATAAATTGAAATCTACTCATGTGATTTAATATCATCTAATGTGAGTAGAAGTTATACAGGTCGCATTTATGATCCGATTTGGATGAAATTTGGCACAGCTCATTTCTTTGGCCCAAGGACGAATCCTATTGAAATTGGAAAAAATCGGTTCAGATTTAGATATAGCTCCCATATATATTTTCGTCGATTTAAGGAAAATGGCGAACCAAAGTCCCTATATATCTTTCGATTTGCACGAAATTTTGCACAGCGTAATGAATAAGGTCTAGAATGATGTGTGGAAATCTTTTGATTTGCACGAAATTTGGCACAGCGTAATGAAGAAGGTCTCGAATTATGTCTGCCAAGTTTCGTGAAAATCGGTTCAGATTTAGATATAGCTCCCATATATAGCTTTGCCCGATTTTAAGTAAATAGTCCACTAAAATCTCTGCAAATCTTTTGATTTGCACGAAATTTGGCACAGCGTAATGAATAAGGTCTAGAATTATGTCTGCCTAGTTTCGTGAAAATCGGTTCAGATTTAGATATAGCTCCCATATATATTTTCATCCGATTTAATGTAAATGGTGCACCAAAGTCCCTATATATCTTTTGATTTGCACGAAATTTGGCACAGCGTAATGAATTAGGTCTAGAATGATGTGTGCGAAGTTTCGTGAAAATCTGTTCAGATTTAAATATAGCTTCTATATCTGACAAAATACAAATCATTTCATTCCTTTAAAAATGCGACGTCTATTAGGATTCATCTGTTGAATATACCCAAAGTGGTGAAGGGTATCATATAGTCGGCCCCGTCCGACTTTACTACTTTCCTTACTGGTTTATATTAAAATATTTAGAGTGTTGGGTTTATCCCCATATAGGCGTATGGGATATTTGTTACTTGGAACTGTCAATTTTAACCCTACAAAGTGTGGAATTCTTAGACGATTTAGCCATCTGTTGTAATCATTACGCATTCTAAAGATATCGTGATAAAAAAGTCGAACCTGGCTATAATGAAGTATACCGGCAGGCATTTACTACATCTCCTCCATATAATGATACCTCCTGGAGGAAAGAATTGAGATACAAAACTAAAATATGGGTCCCCCTATAGGCATAGCCTCATATAATGTTGCAATCTAAATTGCAGTAGTTTGAGGATTGTATACTCTACCATGCATTAATAATATCAGTCCACGCATTGGAGTTTTCAGATTTTAGGAAAAATCCCCATTAATAATTGCTAAAATTTCTATTTGGTGTACATAATGGTTTACATATATCGGTTTGTAGATTTATCGGTATAGGTTTACTTTTTAGTATGTTCCCTATATTTTCATTTAAAGTATCTCTCAGTATAGCTATGGTGGAGGGTATTCAAAGTTCGGCCCGGTCGAACTTAACGATGTGTGTGTGTGTTGCCTCCCATTGTACAACTAACAACTCACGACAGGGAATTTTTCAAGAACTTAATTTCAAATACAATTTCAGATTTTTGTATGTCTAAAGAAAATATAAATTGCAAACTCATCATTTCATTTAATTCTGTCTATGAGCAGGGTATTTCAAATATATTATAATTAATAACATTCATACGCCCCATAACACTTTATTAATATTAATCATACGCCATTAGATTCGAATGTATGAACGTTTATTTCAGTGGATACGAGGCAGAATTTTTAACGGTCAGGGTTCGATTTCCATATTCTTCAAGGCTAAAAAAATATATCTCAATACTCATTCAATGTGAGTATGAGCAATATTTTAATAGTATAACAAGCCCTAATATCTATACGCCTCATAGAACTTCAATTATTATCAATCATACGCCAGCACAACACTATGTGGGGAAAAACTAATGAATGACAATGAAATTCAGTTCTGTTTCAACAATATTTAGGGTTTTCTAAGTCAAAACTGAATTATATAAAATGAGTATGGGCTTAAATGGGACAAAATACCAGCCATTCGAATTAAATAAAAATCGTACTTACATCTTTTTCCTCTCCTAAAATTATACCCTTGTGTTTGGCTTCACTAAGTGAGATTTCTTTACGATTCAAAATTCATATTTAAAGTGTATTGATTTTATCTCCTAAAGAGAGCTCCCCATTTGATTTAATAACATGTACTGCGAGTATACGGAATATTTCTGCTCCAAAAAAAAAAAACTTAACATATTTCTAGGGGTTTCCATTTCAAAATAAAGACGATGCGAACTGGACAAACTATTTTTTCAAAATTAAATAAAAAATTTTCCTTCACCATCTTCATTTTTCCCTTTTCCCAAATAATATTGAAACTATACGTTTGTATTTCCTAAACATAGCTGCCCATGTGAGTATGCGAAATATTTTAAATAAAATTATTAATAATATTCATACGCCACACAGCACTGTATTATTATTAATCATACGCCATCGAAACCTATTGTAAGAAAATTGAAGGATTCCACTGTTTCAATTAAATTCAATATAATTTTAGGGGTTTCCGACTAAATTGGATACGCCAGCACAACCGAGAGTAGGATTTCACCTCTGCTCCAATAAAACATAACATCCTTTTAGGGGTTTCCATTGCAAATTCTAAATGATGCAAATTGGACCAAACCTTCATTCAAACATTTTTCCAATTTCCCAATTCATATTAAAACTTTATATTTTTTTGTATGTCCTAAACATAGCTCCCCATGTGATTATTATATATGCGAAATATTTCAAATAAAATTATCAATAATATTCATATGCACCACAACACGGTATTATTATTAATCATACGCCATAGCAACCGGGATTATGAAAATTTAAGGATTCCACCTCTGTTTCAATAAAATTTAACATATTTTAGGGGCTTTGATACATAGGGGAAATGGGAATCAAATCTAATAAAAAATCCTCCTTGCTAACTTCATTTCCCGCTTTCCCAAAAATGATACCCTTGTGTGTTTTACCACCACTTTCTGTTTTCAATTTATGAAAGTCATTTCAAAAAGTTTATTATTATTGTTGTTTTTGTGCTTGGCCTTTTGCTGGCCATATATATATTTTTATGCTTTTCAATAATATTCTGATTATCGATATTCGATTAAAAAGTTTCAAGTTTTAATGCTGTTTTTTATATTACACAATTTTTTTTTTTTTTTGCCTTCATGACTTATAAAATGGTGTGTTGTTCTTCAATGCCGCGTTTTTTTTGTAATGACCTTTTTTGAAAAACAATAAAAAAAGGTTTTTTTTTCTCAAGGGATCGTTGCCATAAAGTTCTTGGGCCCTGAGTGCTTGACATTCGAACAGATAATGGCCTATATTTTTTTACTTTTTTTTAATTTTCATTCTTTGTATTTATTTGTTTGAGCGTGTTTTTTTCATCGTGATGATGGAGTTGTAAAATATTTTTTTGTTTTTTTTTTCGTTTTCCCTTTTTATTGATATTTAAGTTTTGATGAGTTTTTTTTTTTCTTTGGCTACAATGTCCATCTTAAATATAAAAAAAACACACACAACAAAAAATATTTATGTTTTTGTTTGGTTTATGGAAGTTTTGTTGTTTATGACCTTTAAAGAATTTATTGGCACTTTAAGGGGCAGCTGTACGGTAGATAGCAAAAATTCTCAAGTCGCAATAGCTTAACGAGTTTGGTGGGAAAAGATAAACCATGGGGGGTGGGGGGATGAGGATGACGATCTCACAAGCCGAGAAAACATAAAGAGTGGAGTGGCAAAAAATAAACATTTGGGAATTTATGTAGGTATTAGATTCCATTAATGATAACAATTTTGATTTTTATTTCAGTCATGAAAACTCATTATTATGACAAAGGGCACGAGGCCTACATCCCCCACATTACCCTTAACCTAGTTTAATAACATATTCCGATTCTCACAATTTCCGCAAATTACATAATCATTAAATTAGCATCGATAACTGTGTGTTTGTATGTGCGTTCGTGTTTTAATAACCATTTACGAAAAATTATTGTAATGCCGGGTTTTTTCCAATAATTCTGTTTATCTTAATGCTTCATACCATTCTAATTATACACATATGTATATGCATACACTCACACATATGTTTGCACATATAATATTTGCCTGATGATCCAATTAAGTCAGTATGTTACAAAATTAAAGATAATAAAATCATTTTAATTGCTTCTAATTATCAACGCAATTATAATAAAAATAAAGGCAGAAGGCAAATGGGATAATAACAGCAAAAAAAAAAAAAAAAAAAAAAAAAAACATTACCACGCAAAGGATCAAACATTTACGGAAGATAATGAAACATTAAAATATAATAAAACAAACAAATATATGCAAAATTATATAAAACAAAGGGTATTTACAATAATGGCAATCTATAATTAACAATTAATGCAAATTGGAATATTTCCGAAGTCAAATGAAAATTAATGAGATAGGAAATACAATCAGTATTTCATATTTTTCTTCGAACCGTTGAGTGGAAGGATTACTTGAATGCTGGCATGCTATTTTTTGCATGGTGTGCCCTGGGAAAATATACTCAAAAAAAAAAAAAAAAAAAACTCCCATGGTAACTTTCAATCTGTACTGTGGGAATAAGTAATATTTTAAATATAATTATTAATGATATTCATACGCTTCACAACACTGCATTATTGTTAATCATATGCCATCACGTTCAGATTTCTAAAAATTTAATGGCTTTTATTTCCTTTGACGTCCTGAGGCCCATCTGACCATTCATTCATTC